ATTAGACTCGCAGTGCTGTATTATTCAGTGTGCTGGGTGTGATATGAGTCTATAGGTGCTGTGCTGTAAAATCACTGACACACTGATCTGAGCGCTCAGCCGATATTGATCCTCCTCAAGTCCATTATCAGAAGAGCCTTACAAGAGAGACACTCAATTTAGACCAGCATCGCTCCACTTCTTTATCAGCCACTCTCTCTCTCTCACTTCTCATACTTTTCTCTCTGCCTGTCCCTGCCTTTGTGTGTTTCTCCTACCTTCCTCTCTTCCTCTACCTCTTCTTCTTTTTCTTCTTTTACCTATACTTCTCTCTCTCTCTCACCATTAATGTTTCTCTCCACCTGGGTCTGTTTCTCCTGTCTTCCTCTCTTACTCTCATTCCTCCTCTATCTCTTTCTCTTCTATTCTTTCTCTGTCTTCCTCTTTCTTTGTCCACCTCTATCTCTCTCTCTCTCTCTCTCTCTCTCTCTCTCTGTCTGGATGTCTGTCTGTCTGTCTTCCTCTACTTCTTCTTCCTCTCTTTTACACTCTCCCTTCCTCTTTCTTTCTCTACCTCTACATCTGGCTCTTCTTTCTTTCTTTCTTTCTTTCTTTCTTTCTTTCTTTCCCACCTCTCTCTCTCTCCCTCTCTCTCTCTCTCTCTCTCTCTCTCTCTGTGTCTGTCTGTCTGTGTGTCTGTCTCCCTCTACTTCTTCTTCTTCTCTTTTTCTCTTTTACACTCTCCCTCTTCTTTCTTTGTCCACCTCTACATCTGGCTCTTCTTTCTTTCTTTCTTTCTTTCTTGCTTTCTTGCTTTCTTTCTTTCTGTACCACCTCTCTTTCTGTGCTATTACTTTCTATTTTTCTAATTTTGCTTTTTTCATTTATTTTCATTTATATATTTCAATTATATATATTTCTATATATTTATATTCTATAATTATTGTACAAATAACTCAGAATAAATTATATTTATATATGTAAGTGATTCCTGTCCTCTCTCTCTCTCTCTCTCTCTCTCTCTCTCTCTATCACAAACACATCAAAATGTCAAACTTTAAAGCCTTCTTTTTCCTTCTTAGCTCACACTGAACACAGTGACCTTTCTAAGGTGTAGTTAACTTTGTGATAAGAGTGCTGGTGAAATTAGCTCGATAATTTAATTACATTTTCTCCATAATTACACTCCTTACGAGCAAATTGGGGTTCTGATCCTGTCTATCACAAATGGGAGAGGCACTGTACTTGTGCAAAAATGGGAAAAGACCAACAATACACTCTGTGTGTGTGTGTGTGTGTGTGTGTGTGTGTGTGTGTGTGTATGTGTGTGTGTGTGTGTGTTTGCATGTACTTGTTACAGTTTTCTCTCTGGCACCTGTTAGACTAGAATAGATTAGTGTAAATGTAATTACTTGTTTGTACTTCATTATCTTTGTGTCACAGTTTAAGTCAGTCTGTACAGTTTATTTATATTTGTGTCTTTGTGCTTTGATATCTGAAAACAGTGAAGACAACTTCCAGAACTTCAAAACACTCCGCGTTATACTGAGAGAGAAAGAGGCAGATGTAGAGGTAGAAGAGAGGTAGACATAGAGAGAGTGAGAGAGAGAGATAAAGAGAGAGAAAGAGAGAGGGAGAGAGAGGGAGAGAGACAGAAAGAGAGAGAGAGAGAGAGAGAGAGAGAGAGAGAGATACACACACCCACGCACATATACTGACCGGCCACTTCATTAAGTACACCTCCTTGTATCTACACTCATTGGCCATTTCATTCAACTTCACTCACTGTACAAATCCACTTTGTAGTTCTACAATTACGGACTGTAGTCCGTCTGTTTCTAAGCATACTTTATTAGCCACCTTTCACCCTGTTCTTCAATAACCAGGACCCCTACAGGACCACCACAGAGCAGGTCTTACTTGAGTGGTGGGTCATTCTCAGCACTGACATGGTGGTGGTGTGATCGTGTGTGTCGCGGTGGTAACTGTGCAGCAGCAGATGAGCTATTGTCTCTGACTTTACATCTACAAGGTGGACCAAGAAAATAGGACAGTCAGTGAAAAACTCTACAGAAAACTACAGATATATTCATACCAGCACAACACACACTAGCTTGCCAATACCACGTCAGTGTCACTGCAGTGCTGAGACTGATCCACCAACCAAAAAATACCTGCTCTGTGGTGGTCCGGTGGTGGTTGTGCGGTGGTGGCTGACCACTGAAGAACAGGCAGAAAGGAAGCTAACAAAGTACGCAAAGAAACAGATGGACTACAGCCTGTAATTGAAAATTACAAAGTGCAACTGTATGGTAAGTGGAGCTGATTAAATGGACAAAGAGAATATATACACATAGGTGTCAGTGTACACCACTGTTAGTTACATCAACTGTTAGTGGAATTATTATGAAACAAAATCGTCTAGGAGTAACAACAGCTCAGCCATGGAGAGACAGACTACGCAATCACAGAGCAAGGTCACCAAGTACTGAAGCTGTAGCATGTAAAAAAATCTTCTGTTGCATCACTCACTACAGAGTGCCAAACTGCCTCTGAAAGCAACATCAGCACAATAACCCTGCATCAGGAGCTTCATGAAATGGGTTCTATGACAGAGCAGCGGCACACAAGCATAAGATCGCTATGCGCAATGCCAAGCGTCAGCTAGAGCAGTGTAAAGCACACAGCCACTGGACCATAAAGCAGTGGAAACATGTTCCCTGGACTGATGAATCATGCTTCACTATCTGGCAGTCTGATCGACCCATCTGGGTTTGGTGGATGCCAGGAGAACATTACCCACCGGAACCTAGTGCCAATAGTATAGTTGAGTGGAGGAGGGATCAGTGGCTGGCATGTGCAAAGTACTGAAAATCCCTACCTTAAGTGCTGTTACTATAGTGATAATTTACTCAAGTAAAAATATTAGTAAATAAAATTACTTAAGTAAGAGTAAATAATACATGACCGCTATGTATTATTGTAGCTATGTAGCTATGTATTATGACAGAAATACATTCACCATTCATCTCCAAAACAGCAACTAATAAGTTTAATAAATAGAAACACAATAAAAGTAAGCTTAGCTAGGACCAGCAAACTAGGCAAACTGCTGCTGTCAGAAAACAAAACTTCTTATTTCCAAAATGGTTTTACAGGAGAAGGAAAAAAAAAAAACTTTTTGAATTTCAATGAAAGTCAAAAACCAAGTCATTTTGGGACATTTCCTTTTGTCCATTTATCATGAAATTTACACAAATTGTAAAGGGCAACAGATATTTTCAAACTGTGTCAAGAACTAAAAAAATGACAAAAATGGAGATACAAGGTTTTGTTCCAGCAGCAGTGAAATGCCCCCTTAGGCTGGAGTCGAGCTGTGAAAGCAGAGATCTCAGCAGCTTTCGTGTTTGGCTGCTGATAATAATGCCGTTTTCTTTAGTTCGTACGAAAATGAATATAGATGACCGTTTGAATGCGGTCTGCTCCTCGTGTGTGCTGGTTAAGTTCTCCTCTGTCCTTCTCCACTAAACTGGACATCTCTGTAGTGTTTTTCCTGTCAGAGCTGTTGTTTTTTGATTGGGGAATCTTTTAAATTTAACCGCACTTTTTTCTTATTGGTTTTCTTATTGGTAATTTATTTTTACTCTGTAACGTTATTAAAAAATAAAGTAGTGAAGTAAAAGTATTTCATTAAAAATTAACTCATATTCATAAACGTACTATGATTTAATTCTACTCCAAAAAGTACAGTTACAGGGAAAACTGTACTCAACTACAGTAACGAGAGTAAATGTAATTTGTTACTTACTTCTCTGTGAGCAGAATGAAGCAGCAGCAGTTCTGGCCATGACTTTTCACTAAAACCTGTGTCATTTAAGCAGGTCCAAAAGTGTTTGTGTGTGCTCGATTCATAAGCCTGACATTGAAGAGAGCACAATCCAGTCTGCATAGATATTTCAATGTATTAAAGGCATTTAACTGGTCACAGAATACATTTTAATTATAAGCAACAGATAGATATTTAGATAGATAGATAGATAGATAGATAGACAGACAGACGGATAGATACACTCTGCCTTCATTTTCCTCGCTTTCTCCCTATATTTTCCTTTCTCTCTCTCTCTAAATCTCTTGGCATGTCTTTCTCTCCCTCCATTTCTCTCACCCCTTTATCTCTCTCTCTCTCTCTTTCTGGTTATCGATTGGCTTACGTGCAGCAAAGATAGAGATCAATATTGTGAAATGGAGATTCGATTGTCTGATCGGAGGCTTTTTTGTATGATTAATCTGTAAGGCAAGAAGGAGAGACAATACAGAAAGCATGCTTAGAGAGAGAGAGAGAGAGAGAGAGAGAGAGAAAGAGAGAGCGAGAGAGAGAGGACAGGGATCACTCACATATATAAATATAATTTATTCTGGGTTATTTGTTCAATATTTATAGAATATATATATATAGAGTAATTCTCTGGGTTTATTCTGACAAAGACTCTTATTCTGAAGGGCGGAATCAGCTACTCATTGTGTTTACGCCGGTTAGCAGTTAGCCTAAAGCCATACTCGTTGTACATAAGCTGGGGCCGACTACAGCCTTTAATAAAGCATAAACTTGTGCATAAATTGAGTCTTCTTTATAAGCAGTAAAAACTAAATGATGAATAGACCAATAGAAATGGTTAAAAGTAATAATAAAATCCTGTTACATTAACTCACATAAAAGCTAATGAAGTAGTGGAGTCACACAAGGCTGTGTATTACAGTGATTGCACCACACTTCAGGGCTGCTGTAAAGTACAATGTGAAGAGGATGAAACTCAAAACATCAAACATTATGGCATCTTTCATGACAAAAAAACGGTAATGGTAACATGACACTATAATATTACTGGACATAATCTGGCGTCACAACTCATGACAGCATAAGACATCTGCCATGACATGTTTATGGCATGGTTACATCAGTGTTCTGTAGCAGAGCTCATGTCTGGTTTGTTTTTCCTCATCAGAACGCACTATTTTCCTACCTTTATCTTGTGCTTTGTTGGGGCCCCAGGTCCTGAAGTAATCATCCTAGAGAGGAAGAGAGAGAAAATTAGTTCTTTATCAGCACTGAGTAACAAATAGGCACATACACAAATAGACTCCAGGGAGGTCCTGAGCTCCTGCACTTCTGCCCTCAGACTATACAAGTGCCCTCTTAGCGTCTACAATAATTATGTTTTACACGGCCATTCTTTAAGACCCATTTCAAGCTGAGGCTCTGGCTCACTCACAAAAAAAGAGCTTGTTGGTCAGATCATGTTCCACAAGCTTCATTGCTCTGATACAGCAAGGACACATCACCACAACACTAAATTTTACCAGTAAAGCACTGATAATATCATCGAAAGGCCCATATACTACATTTGTCTCTTTGTGTACAACCGATATACCCTAGCAGACAGGGGATACCCATAATGCACTGCGTTTGTCTGGTTTGAAGATTCATACACAACTTCTCTGAGGAGAATTACTGATCCCAGCTACAATGGCAATGTTTTCACAGACCTCTCTTCACACCTGTTACAGGTGTAAGTAAACTCTTCTCATGTGTTCAGTCAAACTTCGCAGTCATATTGAACTGGTGGCATACTGTTTATAGTATTTATGTGACAGAATCTGCTGAGGCACAGTAATGAGCAAACCTGTATGACTATAAAAGTGTATAATAGTGTTCTGAGTAGTGTTTTCGAATTTGGGGTATAGTGACCATTTCAGGCACAGCAACAGTCCAAATTCAGTTTATGTGACCATTTTCCATCCTCACTTCACGAAAATGATAAAGGCTGTTTTTGTTGCTGTGCCTTTAAGCCTGAAATATGTAAATGAACTCTGTTCTGATTGGCTGACCTGTATTGTGCCTCATTCGAAAACCAGTGTGGGATTAAACACTCCTTATAACTTCAGCGTGAATGGAGCTGATTTTTGCAGCTTTATTTCAATATATAGGCTGTTTTGACTGGGGAGTGTTGATAATGTTTAACAACATTTACAAACTACATCAAATTCTTTTATTTGAAAAAAGTGAGGAAAATTTCATTTTCTATGATCAGGGCCCTTTAAGAAAATGTCACATAGCCTAATTTGGTTATTTTTATCAATGTGCATACATAAAATCATGGAATAACTTGCTACACTAAGTTTGTTTTATTGCAAAGAGGGCAATGACCGAGGGCAGGAAATGTGGAAATGAGGGTTCAAATCCCTGTTTCGATATTTTTAGTTGCCTTTTGGGAAAACGCCTCTGAAAAGTGATGAGTGTTTGCTATATGCTATGGATTAATTTCATTAATTCACTTTTGGGCTAGTTTTCCCTTGAACACCTTCAGCTCAAAATGTCAGTGAATGAGCCTGCTAACAAATATCCTTGATGCTGCTCTATGGAGACACAAGCACTGAAAAAGTGATGCAATAAATTTACTTAATCCAAATATGTACACCAGTCTCGCATGAATAAAATATCCTACTTGAATACAGTTACTGCCAGAATTTAGTAAACAGTTTATCTTTAATAAAAGATGATAGTAGTGCTGATGTAATAGATTTTATTCATACTGCACTGATTTACACATTTGAATCACAAGCAATTCAGTGTGCTGTTTTTCAGTGTGCTCTAAGTGTGTATGTGTGTGTATATGTACTGGAGTGGGTGTCAGGATGTGATTACACAGTTTCTCACAATTGTGTTATAGGCCCTTAGAGAGGTTTCATTCATTTCATAGTCATGATTGTAGCTGTCTTAAGTTTAACAAGATTGCCAAGATCAGCTACACTGTCACTGTGGAATTCAACGCAGGGAATTCTGATCGGTTCCAGAAAACAGGATCCAAAAGCATTTGACTGACATAAAGTGCCACCAGAGGGGTGTCTGTCCTTCATATAGTCCCAAGCTTTTACGAAATATCCTTGACTCAGCAAAGGCAAAGCAATATGCATATTAAACACACATAAGAGTCATTTCTGAAGTGTGTCATTTGCATTTGGTCACTTCAACAAGAGATGTTGCTTCTTATACTTTGGCTCTTCCCTCAAAGGGTGGGATTAATTAATTTTGCATTTTGTTACACACACACACACACACACACACACACACACACATGCATATCAATATATGTGACTAAAATCCTGTTGCTTTGAATGACTCTATAGTTTAATTACATTTTTTTTTTATTAAAATGATTGAACATTCCCTTTTGTGTCACTACCAAATCAATCCTAACACTACTGACTGTTTCAGAAGTGACAGTTTTAGCTAATTTTGAGCATAACTTAAAAATGCTAGTCAGTACATGACTAGCAAACACGACTTTGAACAGCTGTATACACATAAAATCTTATTATTTCTCATTAAAACACAAAAAGGTTATGAATTGTAGAGAAATATGTGTCTTTGTAGTGAGAATTCTTAATGTTCCACACTGATTTTCTGGCTTTGGGACACAATTACTTCAAAACAGAGGGATCTAACTGCTCACCATGTGGCCATGAGGGACAGGGATCCAATCTCACTTCCTGCTCTAAAATTTGACTTGTGATAAATTTAAATGTTCCACTTTAACTTTTACTTTTACTTCACTGTAACAGAAATGAACGCACTTTTAACAACATTGAAAAATACATATAAAGGTAAGTAAAATTTTCACAAGTTGAAATTCAGGAGTGAGAGTTTGGGAAAAAAAAATTATATATATATATATATATATATATATATATATATATATATATATATATATACACACACACAATTTATTTTTTAAACTCTTCACTAAAAGGTGGACCCAAAGAAACAGCCCAAAATGACTTGGAAAAACGTCTGGTTCCATTAACTTACATTAAAAAGTGAAGTATGTTTTTTCCTTTTCCTGTAAAGTTACCATTTTGGAGATACAAGGTTTTCCTTCGACAACAGTGATATACTAACTTGTCTGGCTTGTTGATTTGCGAAGTCGCTGTGTTTCCTACATGTTTTCTGAGCTGTGTATTCTTTGTTAGTGTGTTTTTGTGTTTAGACTCTCACTTTCTCTCCTGGTTTTTGTGTCATGGATTTGTCCATGTTACCTGCCTGTTTTTTGACCCCTGCCTATGATGACTATGAATTTTGGATTGCCTCTAATAAAGCTACTATGCACATGTATCCTGCCTACAAACCCCAACTATTACAATCTCAAGATTACTGTTAGCCATAAGCAATTGAGTGATTAATAATATACTGTTATTATCTGTTTACACTATTTTTTTGCCTTAAGATTTCATAAATCTTTTTTAAGAATGATGATTTCTGTGTATTAATTTTATTGACTGGCAACCTGTCCAGGGTGTTTTCTGCCTTCCGCCAATGATTGCTGGGATAGGCTCCAGCTCCCCTCACGACCCAGAAGGATAAGCGGCTTAGAAAAACCTGCACAGGACTAACATGTTGTATATTTTTATATGTGTATCTGTCACTAAATTGATTTTATATAATTGAAAACAGTGATTTCAAACATTTTTTTTCAAACCATAATGTATGTCACTCCATGTATCTAAATTTAAGTCTAGTTTTTGAGAACAAAAAAAAAACAAAAACAGTCCCACAGACACACAAACACACCCCCACAGCTGCAGTGTTTGTACTGATGTGTGGATAATGTGGCTGAGCTTCAGTATTTACTCTGTGTATCATAAGTAGTCACCCCTCTCCTCTGCTGTTCCATCAGACTTCAGGCTTAAACTGCTCACTCCTTAGATCAAATTTCTGCTGTTTCCAACAAGGCTGAACCCATCAAGAGAAAAGACTGTTTATTTATTTACAATCACAACGCCAGCCCTTCATTTCAGCCTCTGTTAATGGAAAAGACAGGCCAGATAAACGGACGCAGAGAAGCTGGGGAGCTGGATGGAGTTTGATTCGCCAGCCTGATAGTTATTTTTTTAGCTCCCTGACAGAGCCAATGAGAATCTCACGGCACATTAGCCACGGCCAAGGCGTTTCAAACAGCTCTGTGTTTTCAACCCAAACACCGGCGGCATCTCGAGCCTCAAGGCCCATTGGCACCGTGAGCAAATACTTCAGTGGAATATTCATTAGCTGCTTTTTAGCCTGGAAGTGATGTGTGTTTCTGAGCGAGAGCACTGAGTAATTGCATAAAAGAGAAACGCGGCGGTGGAAAGCGATCGCGACGAGTGACAAACGCGGGTCGCGCAAATCAGGACTATAATCAGACTGCAGGACTGTAGTTATTGTTGAAGAGTGAGTGAAAGTCTAGGAGTATAACAACAGCCTGAGTGTCAAGAGTGGGCCAAAAGGGAGGGGGTGAAGAAAGAGAGAGAGAGAGAGAGAGAGAGAGGGAGAGAGAGACAGAAAGAGAGAGAGAGAGAGAGATGGAGAGAAGTGGAGTGATACAGGGGGAAATAAGAAAATAAGCAGGTGAATCACGTTGCTTCTGGACCAAACCAAGGTCACGGCTGGCCATGACAAACTAGGCCAAACCTGGCCACAGGCCTGCATCCTAGAGTCACATGGAATTGTGGGTAAAACTGAACATTCTAAAACTCAGCCTGCCTCTCTAACTAGCAAACCTGAGTTGGCAAATGATCTCCAATGTAGCAGCACCTCAGGGCTAAACTAATTGTAATGCTGTTCCATATCACTCTCTCTCTCTCTCTCTCTCTCTCTCTCTCTCTCTCTCTCTCTCTCACTCTTTCTCTCTCTTTCCCCCGCAATTACATTAAACTCAGGCTGTTATACTGACATGAAATAATGATGTATTTTTATTTCCAAAGTTTGGGAAAAAATAGTAATGAAACAGGACATTAAATAAAACTAAAAAAAACAGGATGGTCCTAAATAATCTAAAGGGGTCTATAGCAGCAGAGAAATGGTTAGGTGTGTTTTTTAAGTGTGTGTCTGTATGTGTGTATTTGTGTGTGCATGTGTGTATATAGCACTTAAACTTAAGTCTGATGTGTTTAATTAAGAGGATGTATTGTGCTGCCGGTGTTCAGCACTTCTACTAAGAGATAAGCTTCCTCAATATTTGAAAGTTTGCTCT